TAAGTTTCTTAACGGAAGACAACCTTGGGAGTTGGACTTGCGGACGTCAAATGGCCAGGTTGTTTTAACCGACAAGGGTAAAGATTAAAGATTTCTTTTCGTTTTCTTTCCTCGACTTGGCCGTAAAATGCTCTTATCTTCGTCTCTCAACTGCTTGTGTGGTAAGTATTTCTTCGTAAGTGCGCATTTGTCATCGTTCAAGTTTGAAATGAAAATAATTGTGTGAAAAATAAAAATAGATGTGTAGATAGTATTACTTGTTAATTATAAATAATAGCAAAAGTCACACATGCATGGAATGAAATCCACTAAGGATTTTTGTGTCCGAAGCTCTTGGACTGAGAAATCTGACCTGTTCAAAAGAGAGAGAGAGATTTGTACCGTTCAAGTTTTTAAATTTTTGTGAAGTAAGCTAGTGAAATGGACTAATAGAGGCAGTAGAATTGATATTGAGAGATCCGGATCCCTCAATTTGCGGACTCCGAATTCAAAGATCCGAAGTAGATCTCAATCCCACGTGCACGTGTGTGATAGAAATATATTGTTTTTATTTTTTTATTTTTTATGACCGTAGTGATCTATTTTTAACGAGTTGGAAGTTAAGGAGAGGGTCGTAGTGGAACAAAATGTGGGATAGAGAGGGATTATCTTTGCGAGGAAGAGGAAAAAAACAGCAAACTTGTGTTGTGTGTGATTTAGGATGAACTTTTAAAATACCTAAAAGCGTTTTTGATGAAAATATTTTTAGAACCAATCCTTAGTAAAAATGCAAATAAATCATGAAAAGCACTTAAAATGCTTCCTTAAAAAAAACACATAATTGATGCTTCTTGCTGAAAGCACTTAAAGTATTTTTTTAGAATTCATAAACATTTTCTCTAAAAGCGCTTTCAATCATTTTTAAAGCACATCCAAACGAGCATTTACTATACTGCTTAAAACTTTTAATTTGACTTTTTTTTAAGTTTTGGTGATACAGCTATAATGGTTTTTTTGGTCCATTTTTTAATTGACAAAAAGGCTTATATTAAATAGTAGAGAAGAAGATATTGAAATTTTTATAACACTTTTGGTAAAAATGTTTTTAGAATCTTTATCAAATAAAATATTTGTTGGGACCAATCTTTATTAAAAATATAAGTGAACACTTAAAGTACTTTTGGAACAAAAAACTTTTTCTCCAAAATCATTTTTATGTCATTTTAAAAGAGCTCTTACAAATGAAACCTTTATCAAAAATCGCCTAGTGGTTTGTTTTACAACGAAAAACGTTTTTAAGTTTTCTATCAAATATACTCGTAAAGCACTTTCGTGAATGGACCATTAGGAGGTATTCTATTACACATTGATGGCAAATTAATTCTCTTTCCTATACAATCTCAGTATCTTATGAGGTGATATCGTACTTTTATTTATTCAATTGTATTTAATTTTCTTCCAACTAATAATTTTCTCAAATCATATATTTTGTTTGACATTATAAGACCTTTGTCTAATTTTCATAAAATATAAATCACGTGTTTGTACCAGACCTTTGTCAATAATAATATGGTATGAACTCGCAATACACATAAGCCAAATGTTAGACTTTTAACTTAAAACTGAAAAAGAAATTCTCACTAAATCGTATTACTGAGTAACAATGCCCTCTAAAAATTTCCGCTATGGTCAAACCCATATTAGTATCATGTTTGGGGGAAGGACGAGTTTGGGTCCATGCCTTCCTAAACACTGGGTTGGACATTGTGGGCCCAAATTGTATATATTGTATTTGGGTCACCAGAAGTAAATTTGAGCCCGTATAAAAACAACGACATGTATGGTGTTTTCGTCCCATGACACGTGTCAAATATCTATTGGTCAATTAGCATAACCGGTTTGCCGCGTCCCAATATGCGAAACTGTAGGAGGTGGTCCGAACGCCTGGATGACCGGGTCGCCTGTTTCTGTTCTCCACTTCAAACCGTGAGCTCGAAACCTCTTGCTTTCTATGGAGTGTATGATGAGCTCATGCCCTACGTACTTAAACACCCTTTATTATGCATTATAGTTCATAAAATAAAAAGAACTTTAACGAAAAACTGTCGGTACTATTCATTTTAACGAAAAATCATATTTTTACACTAAAAAGTCAATCCTGATATTATTCACTTTACCCTTTATTTTGTCCTTATCATTAAAACTCAAAGTTTTTAAGTCATTTTCATTAATTTTTCTTAAAATAAAAGCTCAAGAAATTTATTTAGTGAAGAATTTCTCCAACGAAACCATATTCTTAATCCATTGAGTCCAACCAAAAGATCAATTTCATTTTTTGAAACTTCTTTTTTTTTTTTTAAGAAAAGTACGATCTTTCATTTATTAAAAAAAGAGCATTACAAATACATATATATATAATGGATAACTCGATCCCCAAAAGGTCCTTGCAAACTAGGTCTAAAAACGTTACAATAAAGCATTACTAATTGCAAAACAATGAATAGACTTCAAGCATTCGTCCGAACTCATCGGGAACTGCAATATTACACAGGTCAATAAAATTATTAAATCTCGTGTTACACGTAGACCATGTGAGAACAAAATCTCAAGTCATATATTGAGACAGGGAGTACGAAACCCATGGGTTGATTGCATGACCTAATCACCTCCATAATCACAAAACACCAAGTGAAGTAGATCTAGCAAATCAAAAGGTTTCATGCTTCACACATAGATCCAAAAAAGGTAGCACACGAAAACAAAAATTAAAATCAAGCAACTCACCTATAGAGAACAATCAAGCTAGCAAACGCTCTTAAAGAGAAATCAAAACCAAACTTGAAGATAGTTCATACAAATTATTAGACAGAAAAAAAAAAGTAAAATCATATCACCTCTTCACATGAGTCGTCTACGACGTAGACAAGAAAAGCAAATAGACAATTCAATGAAGTGGAAAAAAAATCACGGAAAGTTAATGGCAATATTAGGCCATTAGTTTAGGAAACTATATTATACTCAGATATCATATGTCGTATAATTAGGGACAGACTATTGTAATCGAATTGCCCCCTCCCCAAGAAAAAAAAAAGCCATTCCTTGTTTTTTTTTCACTTGCTAACCACTCCAAAGGAGACGATTGTAATTAGTCAACTAATTACCTTGGTCATTTGCTTGATTCAGTTTATGTCACCATTCGTTCAAACTTCAACGTCAAATGCATGTTCAAGGTGGACAACTTTGAGTTTCACCATTTGTTCAAACTTCAACCTCAAATGTATATTTAAGGTGGACAACTTTGAGTTCCATTGGTGAATGGTTTTCAATAAATTTGCTAGCTCCATTCAAACAATATTTTCACATTGATCATTAGTTAGATGTGCACGATAATATTGTTTCCTTATGTTAAGTCACATATTTGACTCCCTCTCATGATCCAACAACATTGTGGTCACTCACCATTCGATCTTAATCCAACGATAGGTAGTTTAAGAGAACAGGACTCTGACTATATATATGTTTATGCTCCTACCTAATGTGCTAGTATGAACTGGTAAGCACATACCTGATACATGTACGCGTAATTTTCCATGGAATTAATTAGTTCGTTTGCAAGTCTAAAAGTTGTTTTGAAATAAAAGGAATATTTCAATGGAATTAGTTCGTTTGCAAGTCTAAAAGTTGTTTTGAAATAAAAGGAATATATGTATGTGTTAATGCAAAATGCCGATGGTTCTGTTTGCGTTCATACGTACCAACTATACTACTCGATATTGACCCGTATTAATTGGAAATTAAACTTTAACTTCAAATCTAATAATTCAAATTAATATATTAGAGATGGAAATTGTTATGGAGACCATCTTTTCAGATCATATTTTATGAACTACATGATGTGCCGGTTGATAATTGGACTGTTTTTATAATAATTTACAGAAAGAATCCAATTATCAACCTTCACATTATGTGACTTACAAAATATGATCAAACTTTCTAGCATCACTTGTTACAGAGATTTTTCAATGTGTCTGGAATATGGGGAGGTACTCAATATATTATTATACAAGTAGAAAGAAATTTTTATTCCAAGTGTTCTTCCACTTATATAATACCATATTCCAAACACATTGAAAAATCTCTCTACCAATTAGAGATTTGATTTGGTCAGTTCCCATGGCTTTCTCTTGGAGGGCCATTCTTGTTTCCCTTTAGCTTTTGCTTTGAACAATTAAAGTTCAACGGTTTACGATGACTTCTAGTCTCGTCGCGACCATTGCACGCAGCACGCACACAGGAACTGAATTATGCTGCATCCAGAATTTTTGCCTAAAATCGTCGTCGTGGTCAATAAAGTTTTGTATTTTCAATTGTTCTCCTTCCACGTAACGATTCGCCACAAAAAATTACGTGATTAAAGTTTAAAGGTAATATTAAAGAATTAAATTTGTAAATAAAATTTACAAATTAAATGATATGTCTCTAATAGAAATGAGCACGTTTGTTAACGTTAAATCATAATCTAATCAATTTCTATATCATTTAGTTTACAAAATCATATCTACAAATTTAGTCTTTCTCTTATTAATTTATTACCAAAGGTTTAAATATTGTTTTTCTTCAAAAAGTTTGAATGTTCCCAAATGTGTAATGCTTTATTGAAGTGGAATGAAATCATCGTTATTGATAAAAAAAAGAGTAACTTATTATAATATTATTTCTGTTTGAGATACAATCAAATACAATAGGAAATTATTATTTTTTCTTTTTGTTTATAATTAATCAATCAACTTTTTTCTTTCAGCTATTTCTAGAAATTTTAAAGGCAGGCAGGACAATAAACAAGCCCCGACTTTCCTTGAATGGTGCTGATCATGAGAATCTGGTAAGATTTATCACAGACAGAAGAAACGAGTAAGATATCCCTATAAATACCATATATGGTCTTCAACCCTCCTCTCCAAGCAACCCCAATCTCACGTCTGCAATTCGTATATATACCCCTCTCCCATCAATCATTTTTTCTTACAATTAGCTAGCCAGTTTAATTGTGTGATATCTGCTCTGCCCTAATTACTTGTCCTTCCTCTCTCTCTGCTGGTTTGATCCACCATGGGGCTCTCGAAAACATTCTCAGAGTCCGATGTGTCGCTCCACTCCACCACTAGCTATATCCTAACGTCACCGGCTAAGTATGTATCTCGTTGTTTTGCGTGAATTAATCATGCATGATGCTGCTCCATGGCATCTAAGTTTGAATCACCTTTTCCGTAGTATTGTCAGCAATTATGCATGGTTTGCGGTAGCTATATATGTATATAATATATTGATATTAATTATGGTTTTGGTGGTGCAGGTACAAGATGCCTGAGAATTCAATGCCAGAGGACATGGCGTTCCAAATGATAGACGATGAGCTGAGGTTGGATGCGGACCCAAGGCTGAACTTGGCTTCGTTTGTGACAACATCGATGGAGGATAAGGCTAAAAGGCTTATCATGGAGTCCCTCGACAAGAACTATGTTGACATGGATGAGTACCCTGCTACCACTGATCTTCAGGTCTCGTGTCTAGACCACCAAAAAATAACAAATAAAAAAATAAAAAAGAACAAAGATCTATTACAAAATTTTAAAATATATATCCTTTTTTATTATGTCCAAGGAGGAAGGAAAGATAAAATTTTTGACTCAGAATCAAACGCTTAAATTTGTCGAAAAGGAAAGCGTCAAGTACTTAATATATGTCCAACTACTTGTGTCAAAATCCTTTAGGTAGTGTCATTTTTGTTCATTTTTTTTCTTTTTTTAGTCGAACCTTTAGGTAGCTTTGTGTTTTTATTTTGTTTTATCTATTTTGGTCAAGAACTTGTTGTCTATATACACACGACACCTCACGAGTTTTTTAGAATAAAAAAAAAGTAATTAAAAATTTGGTCAAAGCGGAATCGATATTAATATAATTTTGTATTCCCTCTCAAGAGTGATCATGACTGATCATGATGTGTTAATTACATGTGTTCAGAATCGGTGCGTCAATATGATAGCCCATCTTTTTAATGCACCACTCAAAGACGGCGAGGCTGCGACCGGAACGGGAACAGTAGGATCATCGGAGGCCATAATGCTGGCGGGCCTTGCATTCAAGAGGAAGTGGCAGAACAAGATGAAGGCTATCGGCAAACCCTATGACAAGCCCAACATAGTCACTGGTGCCAATGTTCAGGTACATACGTAATTTATTCTCTTCATGTCACAATCTCTTCTTATTTTGGGGTTTTTCTTCTAAATTTTATAAACCCTAGTTGTTTTTTTTGTCACTCATAACCCACACCCTAAGTATTTGTAGGTTTGCTGGGAGAAATTTGCAAGGTACTTTGAAGTAGAACTGAAGAAAGTGAAAGTGAGGGAAGACTATTATGTAATGGACCCCGTCAAGGCTGTGGAGATGGTGGATGAAAACACCATCTGCGTTGCTGCCATCTTGGGATCCACTTACAATGGCGAATTCGAAGATGTCAAGCTCTTGAACGATCTTTTGATGGAAAAGAACAAGCAAACTGGATGGGACACTCCGATTCATGTTGATGCGGCGAGCGGTGGGTTCATCGCGCCCTTCTTGTACCCTGATCTTGAATGGGACTTCCGTCTTCCACTGGTGAAGAGCATCAATGCGAGCGGTCATAAGTATGGCCTTGTTTACGCCGGAATAGGGTGGATTGTTTGGAGGAGCAAACAGGACTTGCCTGAAGACCTAATCTTCCACATCAATTACCTTGGAGCTGACCAGCCCACCTTCACCCTCAATTTCTCCAAAGGGTCTAGTCAGGTTCTTGCTCAATATTATCAGCTCATTCGACTTGGTTTTGAGGTGAGACTCTAATTGATTAAAAGTGTAATTTGTTTGACGTTACAAAATAATTTCAATATTAGGATTGCGCCAATTAACACTTTGTGCTTTTAACGAGGTCAATATGAACAAGTAGTATTGACCTTGATTGGAAAGAACTTATTTTTATTGACCTTAAGTGTGCCACACTTGGTGTGTGTGTATAAAACTTATTTTATTGACTTCAAATGTGGCACACTTGTTTTATATATATATACACACACACACATATATATATATATATATACACATATATATATATATTTATATATTTATATGATCTCTTTTTTGGGTTCAAATATACTAATGATCTCATGCATATAATTAATGTATATTTCTGCAAATTTGGGCAGGGATATCATGAAATTATGGAAAACTGTCACTACCTTGCGATGGTGGTGAAAGAAGGAGTGGAAAAAACCGGGCAGTTTAAGATACTGTCAAAGGACATTGGGGTTCCGGTGGTGGCCTTTTCACTAAAGGACAGAATCCGTTACGATGAGTTTAAGGTGTCGGAGGGTTTGCGTCGGCACCAATTTATTGTGCCTGCATATCACATGCCAGCGGATGCTAAGCATGTGGCCTTGCTCCGTGTTGTCATAAGGGGAGACTTCTCTCGCACTAGGGCTGAGTACCTTCTGTCCAGCATCAACGCTGTGCTGAAAGAGCTCGATGAGCTGCATCCTGTTGCTGCCATTCAAGAAAACGGTCATCATAAACTGTCTCTAAATGGAGTTGCAAATGGAAACGGTGAGTTGCCACCAGCTGCTGCTGTTGAAAATTGTCATCACAAAGTGAGCGCAAATGGAGCTGCATATGGAAACGGTGGGACAGACACAGAGAATGGCCAGATGACGGACGGTGCAAAATGCTACTAGTCGGAGTGACAAACATAACATAAACAATTTAAGTAATCCATACTAAGTTGAACTCTTTGTTGTTGGAGATCGAGTTTATTAGATCGGTGGTAGGAGTTTTTGTTTCTTTTGTTTTGGTGTTTTTGTTTCTTGGCATTTGATCAAATACTTTCAGCTAGTACTAACTGAGAGCGATGTTAATTTTGAGGGTTAAATATAACCAAGGCAGTTCTAAAATATATACCAAACTTTTGTGGGCTTTTAGATGCATACCAAGATTTTCTGTTGCATCCACACAATTACTAGAAAGTGTTTGGATTTTAACGAGGAAAATAAACTTGGAATTTGGATAAAAATTAGAATTTATAAATTGACATGTAACAATTCCCTTGTTTGAATTCATAAACATAGAAATTTAGAATTTCCGTGTGAAAAAAAAACTTGGAATTTGGTATCTCTAATTCCCAAGTTAAATTTTATGTAAATAGATGTCATTTCCCAATTCCCATGATTGAGAGTGATAGAATTTTTAACACATGCGCAAAAGAGTTAAAAACACCTAAAATACTTGCAAGAGAAACAAAGTTATTATAGTATCATTGGCTCAAGCAAGGTCATTCTCCACAGGGATTCTTTTAAATAGATTGACGTGAAATCAATTCCCAACTAATTAATTAAAACAAAGTCTTTATTGAAATAGAAAAAGAAAGAAAATACCTTGAAAGTATAAGTCTTGAAATCTCCAAGCTTTGTCCCAAATCTTCTCTCCAAAAAAAAATACATGCATTCTCTCCCAAACCCTAGGTCTGCCAAAAGGCTTATTTATACTACTCTAAATAAAATCCTCCTAATAAAAAGTCTTAGAATAAGACTAGGAAACTAAATAAATTAAAATAAAATAGGAAACATAATCATAAATTGACTTGGTAAATTCGCCTAGAAATCTGCACAACCACGTTTTGGACCCAAATCAGCTCCAAAACTAGCCAAAATAGCTGGATTTAAAGCTTGGACTATTCTAAACACTTCTCCAGAAGGCCACGACCCATCTGAGGTCATCTTGGACTCCAAAAACGCATTTTAAGCCCAGAAACGTCACCTTTAGCAACGCGCACTACTCCTTCATTTAATCACCAGAAAATAACCGCTTGGTAGAAAAGTCCCAAACTTTGACACGAAGACGACAAGAGACACACGAACGTCTTCCAATTTGAATCACTCCAAAATTCATCCAGTTGATCATGTTTTTCTCCAGAGAAAGTCGAATGTCCTATGTTGAAAATATAAAGCAAAGTATCAAAATTCTACCAAAATAATTATCAAATTATACTAAGAATAGGGTGAAATATATAATATAATATTGACTCATTAGAGAGTTTAAAAATAACAATTCCGTATTCAATTCCATTGTTTTTTTAGGTTAACCAAACAAAAAAATTCACAAATTGTAGAAAATAAAATTCTGTCATTTCAATTTTCGTCATTTTAAAATTTCTTCATCCAAACATAGAGTAAAGGTAATTGCCAATGCCATGACATATATACTTGGGGTTTCGAATATTCCAAGCACTTTTGTTTCAGCAAATTAAGTTCTCAAGCATTTATGTACTTGATTTAAACACAATTCAAAGTTAATAAACATACGGCTTCACAGAGCAAGGTCATTAGCTTGTTCCCGGTACACGGCATGACACACCAAGTATGATAATATAACCACTTGTATTATAATATTTGGTGTGAGTATGATAATATAACCACTTGTATTATAATATTTGGTGTGCCGGAGCATGTTCTTGGTACATAGAAAAATCTCTCAGCTTGTGTGTATGTACTAATATCTGATATAATAGAAATATAGTTAGAAGGGTATTATTGTAATTGGGATATATGGCTATATATAAGGGATTGATAGCTATCATTTTCTTAAGTTCAGTTGTATACAATTTCTCTAATCAATCAATACAATCTCTCTTGTTTCTTTCTATCATCTTCATATTCCTCTTCCTCTGTACCAATTCTTCATCTTTTGCAATGTAGTTAATATGGAATCAGAGCCACCAGGCTCACACCATGGATTCTGGTGATTACACTTCTTAGTTGTTTTCATTTTTTTCCCAGTTTAGCTTTTCTTCAAATTTTCATTAGATATTTCAATAAGTTTTTCGGTGGGCATTCTCCTTGCTGTGTTCTTGGACGACGAAGCGAGTGAGGTCTTCAACTTGGGCGTTGTTCTGGGTGCCGCGAGATTCTTGGATTCCATCGAATGTGGTCATTTTGCGGTGGTGGAAGGGAACAATTAATAAAGAGAGGAATTGGTGTTTCGTCAAAATTTGTCTTTAACCTTGGTTTTGATAAGAGACAGTGATCATTCCCCTTTGATTCAACCACCAGCGTGAGGCGGCCCCGCTTCTGCTCAGCAGTCTTCTGGGACTTCGCCGCTGATTTCAACGCAGGGGAAACATTGCGGGTTTAAATTCTCAATGTATCTCGAGTTGTCGTGTTTCTTGGATCAAGACCCATGTTGGTTTTTCACAGGAGTCACCGCTCTGGCGTTCTTGCCGATCAAATCCATAGGAATGTGATCGGAAAAAGAGAGATTATTCGCCGGACATAATTGGGTTCGTTGAGTTTAGATAAGAAAATCAATGAGTGCCTGACCAGACTATCTTCGTGGGTCCTCGAGGGAAGTCGAACTGCGGCGTTTAGAGACAAACCCACCGCCATTTCTCACTCGGGTTTTGCTCAATCTTGGTTTTCTCAGTGTGTGCGAGCGAGAAAGGAAAGCCATGGTTGTTGCTAGTTGGTAGATTGATTCGCCAAGGTTTCTGGTTTGCTTCCTCTGCATGCTTTGGCTCTAGATTAAAGTTCTTATCAGGTTCTTGATTTCTGATTTTCACGATGCACATAATCTGTTTGATTAAACGTTTCAGTAAGAAAATGTTCGCTATTTTGTCAAGATCAGTGTTTGTCATGGACTTCATTTAGTTTGCTGGATTTTCGAACCATGAACTGTGCAATTTTTATGGTGTCCAATTATGTCTCTCTGCCTCGCTGAAATTCTACTGTCTCTTTATCTGGCATCTGGGAAGATTTAGGAAGCTATCAGGAGTGTCAATCTCCTTGGTTGATTTGATTTCTTAGAGTGTCATTCTCCTTGGTTAATTTTGGTATATGGGAAGATTTAGGAAGCTATCAGGATTGTCATTCTCCTTGGTTGATTTGGTTTCTTGACATTTTGGTATATGGGAAGATTTAGGAAGCTATCAGGAGTGTCATTCTCCTTGGTTGATTTGGTTTCTTGGAGTGTCATTCTCCTTGGTTGATTTGGTGCCAGTCTCTGTAAAGATTCAGGAGGGGTAATTTGCATATACAGCGAGTGTGTTATTATGGCTTCTTTGTTCAAAGTCGAAAATCTGTTGGGATTACGGTTTAGCTTCAGCAGTAGTAAAATGCATAGAGTTACTTGTTGCATTTGTTCCAGCAAGCTTGCTATTAGGTTAATCCAAAGTTGGTGTAGTTAAAAGTGCTACAATGTTGGATCATCAACTTTATTCAAAGTGGTTTGAATTCGGTTTCGATTTTGCGATTAACTGTGGCTTCTTCAGACATGTTTGATTGGAACAACGAGGAGCTTGCAAACATAATATGGGGTGCGGCAGGTGAGAGTGATGATCATATTGTGTTGTATAACGAGGCACGTGCTGATTATTGCAACAAGAAGGAATGGAAACAAGAATCTCACACCATCAAGCCTACCGAACAAAAGACCCATGGGTCCAAAAATTGACTTGCAGGACAGAAAGTTGGAAAGCAGTTCTAATTTTGACAAGACCTGACTAGTTCAAACTTCACTTGGATACTCCAAGTTTAGTTTAAGGGGGGAGTAATAACTGATATAACAGAAATATAGTTAGAAGGGTATTATTGTAACTGGGATATATGGCTATATATAAGGGATTGTATAGCTATCATTTTCTTAAGTTCAGTTGTATACAATTTCTCTAATCAATCAATACAATCTCTCTTGTTTCTCTCTATCATCTTCCTCTTCCTCTGTACCAATTCTTCATCTTTTGCAATGTAGTAAATATGTACTAGCCATTTAAATTGTTTTAGGAGACCTTTTCTTAAGTGCCTTGGCTATAGTTGTTAAGTGCCTTGTCATTGATCAGTAATTGTTAGTCTGGACCACACATAGAAACATTATTGAGGAAGCTTTGAAAAGGATCGAAGGCCATACCACTAATCCCCCAAATCATAGAAGCTTGTCCACTCAAGGGTCACTCTCATATTTTCCCACTTCTGTATTATGGTAAAAGGCTCTCAAACCCATCTATCTCCATTCCAATAGTCCAATGTGAACAGTAATATCCTTATACGCAGTGAAATACATGTTACATTTACCAATATGGATGTACGTAGTCTAATTATAAGTAAACCACTTAGACCTCATGTTCAATTCTCCGTTGGCGACAAAGGAGGAGAAGATATATGGGGAAAGGGTCTCTCCTCCGGTGATGACTCGGCTACCTATGTTTCATACCTCATGTTGTTACGTGTTATTGTGATTTTACCTCTTTAATAACGTCTCCCAAAAGTCAGGATGTAGTGTTGTTCACTTGTAAGTGAGAAGTCTTAGGTTCGATTCTCATCAAAGGCGAATTTGAATGACATTATTGCTACATTTTGAGATTTAGTTCACTCTCCCATATGATATATAATATTATTTGTTAAAAAAAAATAAATAACGCCTCCCAGAAAATGTCAAACACCTTGTTTTGATAACATCACTTTACACAAGCTTGAAATCCCAAAAAAAATATGATCAGTTGTAATTAATGATTCTTTCCATTGATGATTGATGCTCAAAATTCCAAAGCTTGCCTTATGTTTTTGTTTATTTAATTATTTTCAATTTCAGTAAATCACTTTCCAATAATTAGACCAAAATTAGCGAACTGAACAGAATGGAAAATTAAGAACCCATCGCATTCTCTCATAGAGGCTATAGCTATGCCCTATATAGAGAGAATACTATATCAAAAATAATTAGGTGATAATAATTTATTTGGATCATATTCCCAAGTTCAACTGAGCTTGGACCTCCAAAATGGTGTTAGCAGAGTCCCTCAGCCTCTGTGCCTCCTCATCAGTGAGATGTATATTGGCCACGCCCAACACCCCGCCCCTCCCAAGCTGCGCAGGCAGGCTCAAGAACACGTCCCCTCCTTCCACTCCGTAGAAGCCCTTGGCGAGTACCGACACAGGGTGGATCTTCCTCTGGTCCCTCAGTATGCTCCGAGCCAGGTTGGCGGCGGAGTAGCCAATTGCCCATGAAGTATACCCTTTCAGACTTATCACTTCGTAAGCACTCTCCACAACTGCCTTGTGAATGTTTTCTAGTGTCTCTTTCTCATAGGCTATTTGCTGTTTTTCTAGGAAGTTCAACACCGGCACTCCCCCTACGCTTATGCTCGACCACAGCGCCACGGAGCTGTCACCGTGCTCCCCAACTATGTAAGCCTACACATATATACCATATTTCAACAGTAAATTAGTACAAGCACAAAACTATATAACTTATATATATATATAATAAAATAAAAATGCAGCTTTCTTGGCAAAATGAAAGAAAATTTGAACAGTTTTGATTATGACTAAAAAAATAAACAGTTTTGATGCTGCATATTCACAAAAAATGATCTTTAAAGTGAATAATTCTGATTATGACATTTGTAAAGTAAAATACTGATCAGAGATGTGCGAAAACTATCATAGGCTTATATCCTAACTGATTCTAGGATTATGTTTTTCGGAAGTATTAAATTTGAAAAAAAATAAATAAGTTTACGTGTCATCTCTATAAACCCTAAAATTGACTCAACATACATATTTAATAGTACAAAATAGTACATGCAATATACCATTTATTTACCTGCACATCTTGGGCGTTAACGTCAAGATGATCGGCGATGAGGAAGCGGAACCTGGAGGAATCGAGGTTGGTGCCCGACCCGATAACCCGGTTGCTGGGAAGCCCTGATAGCTTCCAGGCCACGTAAGTCAAGACATCAACAGGGTTGGACACGATCAGCAAGATGGTGTCCGGTGAGTACTTGACAAGCGGCGGTATGATATTTCGAAACAGAGATACGTTCCTCTGGAGGAGGTTCAGCCTGGACTCTCCGGGGTTCTGGCGGGCGCCGGCGGTGACAATACACAGGTCGGAGCCGACGGTAACGGCGTAGTCAACGGAGGCCATGATTTTGGTGCGGGGAAGGAAGGCGGCGGCGTGCTGGAGATCGAGCATCTCGCCGCGGAGCTTGTTGGGGTTGACGTCGACAATGACGAGCTCATCGGCGACGTCTTGGGTTAAGATGGTTTGGGCGATGGCCATGCCGACGTTGCCGGCGCCGACGACGGAGATTTTGGTATGGCGCTTGGTGGGGGAAGGTGGGTCGGCGCGGGAGATGGGCTTGAAGAAGGCTTGGGTTAAGTCCAGGCCTCCCGGACCCAGTGCTGATCCTGAACTGCTCTTGTGCATGGTTGACATGTTTTTTGTGGGTATGTAATTTAGGTTGTGTATTTTGTGGTGTTTGATGATGTTAGAGAAGGAGAGACAGAGGGGGAGTTATATAGCGTCGGAGAGAGGGAGGGGAGGTCGGTGGGATTCGTAAGATTTCCTTCCATTTCAACAGTCAACGCTGTCATCGAAGACTTGGACATGCCTTGGGAAATTGGGAGATTAATGGAGAATCTGGACCGGAGAGGGAAGAAGTTTCTCTCTTTCCTTGTCTTGCGATTTACTTCAGAACGTTCAATCCATTAATGGGTCTTCTAGAATCAGAAAACTCAATTGATATATAGCAGCCCGCATCTTCAATCTGCATAAAAGTCCAATAGAACTAATGGGCCTTTTACAAGAAATACGGCCCTTTCATCTTCAAAGCTTGCATATTGGGAGGAAATTTTAGAGTCGATTTGGAAATGCTATTCTTAAGCTATGTTCATAAGCGTTGTTGTTGATGGAAGAGTGTTGAAATTTCATTAGAAATTTTTTTTTTTTTTTTTAGAAAAAACACTCGAAAGTACTTTCAGAAGTAGTACTTTATAAAATAAAATAAAAACGCTTTCAAATGCTTTACAATCTATACACACTTGATTACATACGAGTGGAAGGATGACTATCAGGGTTTGTGGCTTAGATTATTCAAAGATATAATCACTTTTTATGTCAAATACGTTAGAAATGCTTTTGATTACATACGAGTGGATTTAGATTTTTTCTAAAAAGATCTTCACTACATGATTTGGATTGTTACTCTATTAAGTTGTGCTACCAATACATGAACATTCAACGTGTTATAGTGGCAATGAAACAAAAATATCACAAGACGGTGTGATGACTACATATATAGGAAATGTAATGCTAAGGAAACCAAATGGCAATGTAAGACATATGACGGTGTGATGACGTCATACGGCAATATAAGACATATGATGTGGTTGGTGATGATTGGATTATTACTTAAATTTTAGTTAATGTGTTTATTTCCTATTAGTGACACATTACATGACTTGCAATTTTGATATACAAAATTGGTCTAACTAGCAATACACATAGAGGAAATAACTTGTCTGTTCAACTCTGAATTCAATCAGATGTGGCCAGGTGTTGTGGGTTTTCACAGATTCCCCGGATGTTATGTTCGAATACCACCTACTCAAAGCATATCTCCCAACAATGCATGTGAAGAATCATAAAGCATGAGGCTAGAAAAAAAAATGAAAGAGATCTAAAGCACTCTACAGGTACAAAGGAAAGCAAAAATCTAACTATGTGTCACCTTGCGAAAGTATCACTCAGTGTGAACACTCTACGCAGTTCGTCCCAAATGATTACATCTTTGAAAACTAAGCCACAAACCCTGATAGTCATCCTTCCACAATCCCACAACCACCCCACTACTGCAAAACGCATCATTCTCCTCATGCTATATATATACCCGTTCATTGAGCTAGTTCATCAGGTCAGTGCAAAGAGATATATAATCAAGCAAACTTGATTAGTAATCTTGCAAATATATACGTTGAGCTTCAACATGAAAGCCTTCATTGTTTCTGTGTTTTTGTTTCTGCTGGCTACGAACGTTTTCGTTGAGGAAGTTGTTGCAGCTGGAGAATGTGGAAAGACTCCGATTAGGTCAGCAGCAACAAGCCTGAGCCCTTGCTTGAGTGCGGCCAGAGACGTGAGGGCCAAGGTTCCCCAACTTTGCTGCACCAAAGTTGGTGCCTTGATTAAGACTACCCCAAAATGCCTTTGCGCTGTTCTGTTGTCACCTTTGGCAAAGCAAGCTGGTATTAATCCCGCCACTGCCATCACCATTGCAAAGCGATGCAACATCAGGAAACGACCTGCCGGAAAGAAGTGCGGAAGTAAGTAGTTACATAAGTAATATTATTTAGACATACAAAATAAAGGGCAACTGGTGTTGTAAAATTAATTGTTTGATTTGCAGGGTACGTGGTGCCATAAGCCAAAGTCAGAAGAGTCCAGCCATAGCAATACATGTATAAAGGGGGACCAGAAACATCCAATGTCTTTCAACGTTGAATTAGGGAATAACATGCAACGATGGGTCATTTGATTTGCTGTCTGCTGTGATCGTTGACTCTTCTGGGCACACTACTATTTTACTTTACTTTTACGTACTATTTAAATGTGGTGTTCTTGTCGTAATATTTCTTAATAGATTATGGTCCCTATCCTTACCAGCTAACTCTCTTATTTCTCTGGCTACAACCGAAAAAGATAGTATATAAATAAATAAAAAAACAAAGCTGTCCTATATTTCCAAAAAAAAAACAAAAAAAACAAAACGAAACTGTCCTAAAACAAGGGAAATAGTGAATAAAAATTGCCCCCCAAAAAAGGGAAAAAAAGTATTTGTACATGAATATAGAATGTGAGACAGCAGAGATTTAATAATTTCAAATTTAAAACCAATTCAAATGAATGAAATAAGTTGGATTTTTACCTAGGCGTCTCGGATTTGAAACTTCCTTTTATTTAAATTATTGTAGTAGTTTTGAACTTTCTCTTTAATAATAATGAAATTTTGAAGGAAAAAAATGAATGAAATAACAGTGTTTTTTATGTTAGACTATTTGCACTGAATGAATTATTCACTGCCATTACCAAAACAATGCACAATGATTTCTTATCAGAAACTTTGCGGGTTTGGATATTTTTATCAAGCTGTGTCTTATGTGCATGTGCATGTGCAGTGTAGAACCCCTGAAGCTTTATATTATTACTTTGAAAACAGCTATAATTTGGGGTCCGGGTCCCATTTTTATTGAATTTCAAATTGTTTCTCACACAGATAACGGATTGAAGGATTAATGCTAAAACTTCCACTAAACTGTGTTTATAGTGCTGATTACCAGCAGTAAATCGATATGAATCCAGCTGTCGATGGGGCTAACTCTCAATTATATATGATTAAAAGCACTAATACGAAGGATCGGCCAATTCTGATCCCCACCGTTGGACTCGAAGATCAGTGTCTTTTGGCACAAAGCACCACACAATAAGTCTGTACGACACATCAAAGAAACATGCTCTGCCGTCGGATTGTACATCAGTCAACGTCCACACGAAATACGATGTAGGTGACTTACATCAGACAAAGCTTGGCCATTCAAATTCCATGATCAAAAGGATACTGGTCCCACGCACCCACCTCTTTGTAAAATAAAATTTCCTCCTCGAGTGTGTTTTATCAACACGATTGTTACATCACCATGAATGTGTAAGACAGGAGTATCATTTTCATTATTTGGCGGCTTCACTATAGCAATTTACTCTTTAGGAGGTCAGGAAGCTTCACATATGTATTTAAAATTTTTTTTAGCCATAAGAGATGTGATATCCACACACTTTTTATTACTTTTCTCGCATCTTTTTTGTTTTCGGCCGTCAGATCGGATGAATTAAAGAAGATCAACGGATAGAAATTAACAAGGGGTGTGTGAGAAGTAAAAAATGATGTGTGAATAGCACACCCCTAGCCATAATTATGTCATTTACGTTATAGAAATCAAACACAAGACGTGTTGTGTGAAATACAAACTTAAAATTCGTCCTCAACCACTAAACCCACTCCATAATGGTTTGTACTAGTGTAGTTTACTGACTATATCACAATGTAACGATCCGGTATATAAATCATTCTGATTTATGTCTTTCACCAATTATAAGCAAAATTAATCTCATCATCTACCTAAATTATAATATTTGATAACAATGTAATAGTATGACCGGCACATAAAAACATTTCTCATGATTCGCTCCGTTCGAGTTACCAACCACAAGCATGCCAATAGGTGGACCCAATGCATGCGAACGAGCAAAGAAAATTTACAGGTGGAAAATAAGTGATAAAACCCCACAATGGAGAGAAGGTTGTGGAAAAAGTCTCAAAAAGGAGAACGGTTGGGAAGCATAACATTGAAGGGGAAAACAGAAAAGGAAAAGCTGAAATTTGAATTGTGTCTAACAGTACTAGGGCATATCTATCATCTTTGCCTTGCAATATTTGCTTTTGCATGCAACATCATCACATGAGTACGCTTGCAATTATTTAGTCCCCCACATATTTCTTATTAACCAAAGCAAAATTAAAATTAAGACTACATTTCGCGAATCCCAAGAGACACTTTTTTTTCTTTTTAAAATTTTTTTTGTCTAACATATTTGCCGTTGATTGAGTATTACTACGTTTAGGTAGACCAAGTTTTTGAATTAAATTTTGTAAATTAAATGATATGAGTTGTTGATGATTAAATAATTACTTATTATGAATTAATGTGTTTATTTCCTATTGGTGACACATCATTTAATTTGCACATTTAATTTGAAAATTTGGTCTACCTAATATTATCCAATTTTGAGAGATTTTTCAATGTGACCGAAACACAGGGTGGTACACCGCGTGTTATTATACAAATAGTGGGATATGTATGTTAAAAAGTTAATAACTTAAAAAATAAAACTTTCCACCACGTATTATACGTGGTGTACCATCCGTGTTCCAATTACAATTAAATTTTTTTTCCCAAATTCATATAATCTCTTTTCACTTTTTCCACTCTCTCTATATATGTCATGGCTTTGCCCATAAAAAGAAACGTATGGGTCTGAGTGAGTGAGTCGTTAAGACTTTTAGAGAGAGAGAGAGAGAGAGAGAGAGAGAGATGGGCGAGCTTCATCACTCCATGTCCATGGCTTTCACAAACAGTAGCCTTCACAGCTCTTCCCTAGGTTGGGATTGTCACAGCCACCTTGGAGTCCTCAACACAGACAGAATGTCTTTAGGTCTCTCCACCTTTTCTTCCTTTGTTTCTCTCCTTTCACTGTTTTTGTCTACATTTATATTTACTTGTCGTTGAATATAACACAGTGATATATTTCTAGCTTGCTAGGGTTAATTATAACTTTTGAATAATATGTGCAGCTATGGAAGAGTACATGATGATGAATGTAGCATTTTACTCATCGCCTCATGTAGATCAGTCGGATTTCTCGACGGGGTACTTAGAAGACGCTTTGGTTGAATTTAGCGAGCGATCCAAAAGAAGACGCTTGCTCGCGTATACCGATGGTGATAACGAGCTCAAAGACTCCTCCACTGCTCTTCTTGCGAAGGTATTGGGTTAGCGTGTTCGAGAGATCTCTCGTTTTGCATGCCTAGTTTTTTTTTTTATAATCGTAAGAGCTTTTTCATAAATGTTGAGCCAATTTCTGACTTAAATTTTATAAACAGGGGTACTGGAATTCAGACTGGGAAGTGTCTGAGAATTTTGATTGCATGAGCCAGCTAACTACTTCCAGTTCTGGGCCATCAGGTAATTACGTAATAATTAATTACTTTATTTTAGCTTATCTATAACAGTTTTAGTTCTTTCTTAATTGTTGTTTTATAGTTAATTAGTATTAAAATGGTTTAAATTTCAGTTCTTCTAGGTGATCCTGTAAGTATAACCACACCAATGAGCAGACTCGTGTCCGAAGAGATCACAAACGACATAGTCGGCACAAAGATAAACACACCAGAAGAGCCAACAATGTCAGCTCCCGAAGCTTTTGATTCCTCCTCTTCTTCTTCTAGCAAAGACGCGGCCAACACCAACTCTGATTATTTACCTGCTCCCAAAGAAACTTTTTTAACCAATATTGCTGTTCCAGCTGTAGGTATGTAAGCATATGAATCTAGTACTATACGTATTTAATAATGTTATATAAACACATAAAATACACACCCTCTAATTGAAGTGGATCCTACCTGGCATACAGGATTTACTAGTATTAGAGAGTATGATAGCATGTGTGCCTAAATAGCATTACTAAACAAAATTGACGGCATTGTTGACACGTTCTCTAATACAGGTGGTGGTGGTGATGAGAAGAAAAAAAAGAAGAGGGTGATAACAAGGGTGGTCTATCCATTTGCGTTGGTGAAGCCGGGCGGAGTAGAGGGCGACGTGACCTTGAACGACATCAATGAGAGAATCCTAATGCCGCCAACACGGCCAGTACGACACCCAGTTGGGGACTTTGCGTGTCGACCATGCGTGTCTGCCGATGGCCCTGGCCTTTCTGGCAAAGCTGTGGTGGCCCTTACCAGGATTCAAACCCAGGGCAGAGGCACAATCACTATTATCAGAACCAAAGGTTAAATTAATCATTGTCATCTAATTAGTGAATGGCCTCGGTGCTAGATATACTTAGCATGCATGAGTTCGATCCATCTTTGATTAATTAGTTAATTAGTTTAAATTAATATGTTCGATCTCTGTGAATTGTATAGAAAACCCTATATATGTTTCCACAGTCCATGTGTAACATGCATGTGTTATGGGTTTACTTTTACGTACACATAATTAAGAATTGTTATTTACTAATTAAGTCTCTGTTAATACTCAAGTTTTTGTGTAGATTACTGAGTAACTGAGGTATTAGATGTGCAACAAGAACGTCATTTCTGAGGTCATAATAATTAACATGGTGGAATTAAAGTAGGAAAAGAAAATGCCCAAAAAGAAAGAAAGAGAGAGAAGAGAATACGAACGAAAATGCCTCTTCAAAGATTAAAGCTTCCAATATATCGTCTGGCACAGAGACCTGCCTATAAGGCAATATATGTTCTCTCTGCTATGCCCCAGTTTTCGCAAGGCGTAAAGACTAAAGTAAAAGTAGATCAGTTTGGTCATTTGATTTGTTAAAGTGGGGACAATTGGAGGGGTGCATAATATATCCATCAGATCTCATTAGTTATGACTATCAAACAATAAAAATACTGTACAGATGCAAAACTAGACAACAACGATTAACATTAGTTGCACAAAATAAAACGAGTAAAAGGCATATCAGTAACAATACAAATACTGTACAAAATAAACAATAAAAATACTGTACAGATGCTTTAACACGCCTCATTAGACATTTGTTTGCCCCATTACGTACTACATCAATATTTCTTCTATTGACGATGAGATGTAATATAACCTAACCCATTAATAATTTTTCAACATAAGATGGATGGATTTAATCACTAGCACTGCGCACTTCAAAACCTTACGTACATATAATGTTTGAAACAATGACAGCTTTATCATCTTCCATTTCCCATCGTTTACCTTTAGCTTTACCTTTTTTCATAGCTACCTGCTGCAGACCTTCTTCTCCAAGACTCCAACTACTACCACTAAAAAGTAAAAATCAAATCATTTTCCAATATGAACATATATATGTATGTATGTATGTATGTATGTATACATCGGATCGACCAAGATTTCTAAGGCATGGGGATCATGAGGCACCCAGTAGGTTAATTATGTAATTAATTCTAAGCAGTGCGCCAATCATAGAGTATACTGTTCTCTGATTGTTTAGTGTTTACTAAGGCATACATTCTTCATGTTCTGTGGTGCATGTCTTCTTGAATACATAGGTCAGTAATTAGGTCAATGCCCACAATTCAAAAACATCGCATGGATTATCGGACAATATCAAACATGTGGGACCATAAATATGAAAACATGCACCCAAGTGAGAGTTTTATATATACTTTGTTTTAATTAATTGCTCTTATATGTGCTGCACTGATGATCGTTCACTACCCTCGAATAACCTTTGACTTTTTGTGATACAAAATTCTAATATAATACGACTTGAGCTCGACAAGAGAAACTTCGATAATACTGTTTGATTAAAGTAATTATGAACATTCATGCAATTCGATAAGACAAATTCTAATATACAACTTTGAAATAAACTTCGATAGCGTTGTTTGATTAAAGTAATTATAACATTCATGTAGTTTGATAGGACAAAAATATTGGAGCCTCATGTTTTACATAAAATACTTTACAAATAATGTAGTCGGGCACTCTTTAGTTGTTAACCTAATTTTTCTCGGTTGAGCAGATCACACGAATGCTCAGACTCACAGTAATCACGTTTCCCATAGATGTTGCAGAAGTCCTAGCGGCGTGTGTATTGTGTAGTAGCTACATACGACGTCCTTGTACAAATTGCTTTGTGCGAGAGTGGCAAAGGAGTGACGAGGATTGGTGTTTTGTCTCGTTAGAACAATCATTGTTGTTGGTTTAAGTTGAAGATAGCTTTTCCTACTTTTTTATGCCCAAATTTCTTTGGATTTGCAGAATCTAGGTGAGTTATATATAAAGAAAAGAAAAAGGGTTATACAAAAATAATATATATATATATATATATATTCCAAAAAGAAAAGTAATTAAAGAAAAAAGAGAAAAATCAAAGAACCATGTAGCAAAAAAGACCTAAAGGATGAGTAGGGTGGCTCAAAGAGTGAAAGTAAAAGAATTGTATTAATTTAAAGATAATACTTGCATCCTCCTCATACAGGGATGCACATATCCCCTCATTTGCGAATAACGAGTCTTGAGCATATAAATTTTATAATTAGAATCATTCAATTTCTTATCAGTATTTGAAGATCACTCGTATAAAAAATCATTTGAATAAGAAATATCCCTTAATCATCCAAACGTATCAAAATGAGCATTTTACTTGGTACCTACACTGTTGATTTTTTATATACATCTAGTCATGATCACTCATTTAAATGATATTTTGTACAAGTGATCTTCAAATAAATATTAACAAATTAAATGATTCTGATTATAAAATTTGTAGGACGAATATACATTACTTATATGGGGAGAATGATAAGTTCATTCCTTAAAAGGAGAATACAAGTATTATCCTTCGTTTAATATTTTGATATTCGACCTTTCAAATTAAAAAAAAGAAAAGGGTCAAAAGGTAATATAATAATCTCCACACACTATTTGATGTTCCAAAAAGAAGATAACTTCTCTGTTAAGAACTTGGTTAAAAATGTAGGAAATAGATCTTCTCCGGATCTCTTCCTTCGAAGCCCCGGGATCAAGTGATCCAGACATTTGAAATTTGATCTAACAGCCAAAAATTATTATAGCTTTTAAAAGTTTTTACTAACTTCTCTGTTTTTAGCCGTTGAATCAAATTTCAAAGACTCGGATTACTTGATCCTTGGGCTTTTGGAGGGAGAGATCCGGAGATGATCTCTTTCCAAAACCGTAAACCCCTCACTAATATCAGGTTTGTGTCATGTGCATGATTTTTCTCTTTCATTGAATGAAAAATCCAACAAAATATAGTAATGATTAGTGTTGTATTCAATTAGCATCGCTTTAGGGGGATCCAATATTTTTATCGTGATTGATGTTAAAGAGATTATTTGCTTAAATCATATATTGTAAATCATACAATGTGACACTTTGATTGAATTTCACCTTTAAACTTTTTTAGTAATCCAATATCAACAGCAACATTATGCGATTTACAAATTATTATCTAAATATATGGTCTCTCTTACATGTTTCTTTCAAAATTCTCGTTATTTCTTGAATATCTTTTTTAAATTAGCAAAAGAAAATCCCTTGGTATATGTGAGAATATCATCGACCTTTTCTTTTCCAAATCCCCAATCTTTCTCATTTAAAACATGGATTATATTGCTATGGGGATTAAAAGTATAGATTATAGAGCGATGCTATCTATATAGAAATTTTTACTTTCTAAATATTTCTTGTTGATTTATGTCTTTTAATATTTTTTTTAATTCATTTAATCTGACAACAAATAATTGAAGGAACGGCAGAGACCACTCAAATTATATTGATATAGTTCACTAAGCCCACGAAGGCCCATTATTAAATGATTGCTTCAGAATCGATATTGGGCCAATAATTAGCCGTGAGGAAATTGCAAATAACTATATGTGATTGGCTGCTGCAGAGTGCAGCCGCCATGTAAGTGATTGGTCAAAATAAAAGTCAAAGTCCAAAGCTTGAACTCAGACTAACCATTTGCCCCCTTTCCCACTGCAAGACATGGTCAATACTCATTGGTCATTGGTCAAACATCACAGACAAGTTTTCGACCGAAAAACAAAAACATCTATTAGTAATTAGAGAAAGGAATTAACTCTCGAAAAGTAAGTAAACCACATTTCACATGCGTTCTCATTTATGGCAACGTAACCACTTACATAATGTTATCTCACATAAGCGATATTGTAGGAGGAGAATTAGAGCACAATCCTTCGAGCATGTTTGAAAATGAAAAATTTCCCTCAATTACATAATTAAATACTATTATTAAGTTATAATTTTTTTTTCCGTTAATATGATAACACACCGTCATCACACTATGGGAGCTGACCATTCCAGAAATCGTTACCTTCATCATAAGGGGATGTACATACGTAGGTTTTGTAATTAGTTCATGAGCTACGAGAAGTTGTTCATGGCTCAAATTTACCCGAAGAAGGCCAAGGCAAAAAAGAACTATGTAGCATCATGACATATTTAATGGTAGTACAGAATCTCCATGACATGGGCCACGTGGCTAACGTTAGAGCCAATAGATTTGAGAAGAGATCATTTCCGGATCTTTTCCACCAAGGTCACCGGATTAAGTGATATGAGCCTTTAAAATTTCATCTAATGGTCCACCTGTTTTGACCCTTAAAAGCTATAATAATTTTGGGCCGTTAAATGAAATTTAAAACATTCGGATCACTTGATCTGGAGAGGTTCTCTTCTCAATAGATTTATGATGTGCACACCGTGTTCACCGTTGAGTTTTGGCCTACACTTGCTGACAAGCGACAAGGCATCCAGTTGTAGTTTGGCCCCTGCGATCCGGATCCGACTTAAGGTCTTGGTAGTGGACCATCTCAATCTTGGATAAAAATGAAAGAACAAACGGACAATGAGAGAATACTTGTTCTCCATATATGATTAACAATTTTTATAGTTCAAACATAATAATCATAACCGTTTATTTTCGTTATCATCATCTAAGATCATAATTGTAAAAAAAAAAAAAAAATCAATTTGGAGATCTTTTAACTATTTATGTGCATAAAACAAATGAACGGTTTATTATAAGGATGTTACCTGTCACAAAAATCATTGATTAGTTTGACACGTATGGATGACTAAATAATCTCCAAATTCAAAGATTTTTTCCTAATACGATATTTAGACGGAGATAAAGAGAATGAAATGTTCAAATTATGATTTTCAGACGCAAAAAATTCGCTAATTGTATAAAAGAAGGACAAGTAGGTTCCTAGCTTCATGGAGGGAACACAAGCATTATCCAAAATGCAAATGGGAATTATGGGTCTAGATGTCACGCGCGCGGCATATATAAAATTTTTTTTTTTATTCATATAGTGAGTCAAGATAAACTTTTAATAGCAGTGTCCACCATGTTATACATAGGATACTTTTAAGGGAATTTTAACGAAAAACATCCGGTACTGTTTATTTTAACGAAAAACCACATTTTTACACTAAAAAGTCAATCATGGTACTATTCACTTTACCCTTTATTTTGTCCTTATCATTAAAACTCAAAGTTTTCAAGCCTTTTTCATTAGTTTTCCTTACTTTTAAAGGATGTACGAAATAGCTTTATATTTTAGTACCCCTTGATGATTGCATACGATTGTACTTAGTGTGAAAGTCGTTTAAATCAAACAAATTTACTGAATATTTTGGTCAAATGACAGTCCAAACTCGAACTCCGTCACGCATACAAATGGCCGCCATAAAAGTCCTCTGTGTTTCTACATTCATTTATTTCTCAAGGATATATAACCGTAGAAACAAAATGGGGGACGTGTTCTTGCCATCTTTGAATCAAAGAGAAACAAAAACAAAGACAGAGGCCCAAATTTCAATTATTATTATTATTACTACTTGATCGATCAAAATTCATGAACAAAAAACAATCTAAACGTGTACGCGTAAAAGAAACCCTAGCAACAAAATGCATGACAAATGAAGTTAGACCAAGTCCGTACGTACTAAAATCCTCACATAAACTGATCAATAAGGAAAAACAGATGAAGGGTTTTTGTTTGGTGTAGTTGCTGTTTGATCAAGCAGACACAAGCAAAGATGGACTTCAGAACCCTCTTCAGAACTTGGCCGCGTTTCGGAATCCAGCGACTACTGCGAGGAACCGCCATTCCCCTCACTGCAGAAGCAGAAGCAGAAGCAGAAGCAGCCATATTCAGATACTGGTCGGTGCTTCTACTCGTAGCTAGCTTGGTAGTAATGAAGTGGCGGGTGACCGTCGGAAGAAAGGGAGGCAGTAGTGAAGTGGAGGCGGTTTGTGATAAGCTGCCGACAGCAAGATGGACTAGGTTATAAATTAGGGTGCGTTGAAGCCGCGTAGGGATGTCCTTTCGAGTTTTAACCGAGTAAGCAACGCGTACGGTGGTTTACGTCGTGGTGGTGGTGGTGGTCTGCTCATTTACTCTTCTCTCTATAAAAAAGCTCTTACCCACCACCACCCCACTTACTCTATTTTAAGCCCCTAATTCTCCCAGACGCGTTTCTCTCAAATTTTCTCTTTTTGTCCTCGGCTTTGAACAAGTCAGTATTTTCATACACAAGTAGGGTACGGTAGCTTTATTTATATTTGCACAAGTCAGTATTTGTATAATATTATGTATTATACGCGCATTCTATTTCACAATTCAGTGTGTCCAAATACGAGCACATACGTTACATATCATTATACAAGTTTAGAGATATTTGGAAAAGAAAAAAATGCAGTTGTTATTAGCATATTTATTTACTTAAGGCATGGGCAGTGTGTCCAAAATACGAGCAAGTACGCTATATGTAATTATACAAGTTGAGAGATACTTGGAAATAAAACGCAGTTGCTATTAGCATATTTATTTATTTGAGGCATAGGCGGAATAGAGACTTGACGTGAAAATACAGCAATACCTTTTCTTAACTAAAATAATTACAAACTATATCTTCTCAATCTACTACAATACCCGACTTGGTCAATCGACTCTCACAATTAAATCATCGTCACCACCCGATCCATCACTCGAATTGTCTACCTCGTGGCTCTTATTTGGGTTTGTACTTTGCTGCCCTGGAGGATTTGTTGGGCCTCTGAATTTTCTCACTTCAAGGTTCTTTCTCACAGTTGTTGCCCCTTCTGATCTGACTGAAACCAGTGGACGGCCGTGATATGATGGAACAGTAGGATATGACACATTGTGTGAACGGCCTTGATATGATGGCATGCTTGGATATGACACGGCTGTGTGATGGATTAACCGGACCACTTCTCGGAAAAACTTCGAGCACGCCTCCTCTGATTCACATTCACCTTGTTTGCATAACAACATAAGAAAATAAGTTAGCTTGAACCAAAAAGATAAAACCACAATCAAATCCCAAGTACTAAAGAACATCAAGAAACTGAGCTTACCATACTGCCGTAAATGCTGAACTGCATAGCCCTCGCAGACAAGTTGTTGTTTTGTTGGTCAATCCCTTCGGGGTTCTGCTTTTGCTGCTTTGCTTTGGAAAACTTGCTCAGGCCAACTCATAAGACCACTATGCTCTCTAGTAAGAGACCTATGAGGATGATGATCAACTGCACTTGATATAAACGAGGGATGAGCGCCTAATCAGAGCACTGTCAGATTCAAATGCTGCGATGTCAAATATAATCACTCTCGATCTTGTTTCAACAAGATAATTGGATCCTTTATGAGAAAAACTGGCTACCCTGGTGCCTGTGATCAATTAGCAGCAAAACTGGTTAGCATTAACGATGCAGAAGTGGTTTATGCAAGAATGAAACTAGTTCCGACAAGTATCTTTCGAAAATAGAAGTTTGATTATTCACCTGATGTTTCCAGATTCTGGAAGCTCTGGATAACCATGTGAGGGGAATAGAGGTGCAGGTGATGTGATCAGTTCTTCTTGGACACCTTGGATTTTAACGAAACCCTCTAACAGAAATCCAATGGAACGGTACGGAATTTCAAAAGATTCGTCCCTTAGGTAAATCGTCATCACTGACCTTTCCGCAACAAGAGCTCTCAAATCTTGCATTGCCATTTTCTCAAATATTTGTGGAAGGAAAAGTTTCAAAAGAGCAATAGAACTTTCCTAAAAACAAAATGGAATTAAATAAAATCAGTTACATCATAATAAAATCCATAATCCTTTCCAAAATTCATATCATCATATTATCTTTTCACTTGCCATGCATTACAAAGTTGATTAAAACACTATTTTGAGAAAGTACTGAAACTTTGACAAACAGCACTCTTCATGTCATTTTGGTTGTAGTAACAAGCTGAAATTTTTGGTAAGAATACCTGCCAGAGGAAGTCTTCGACTGAGGGATCGGACCGGAGCATTGAATTTATATTATGAGTTTCAATGCAAAAGCAGAGAACCACAGAATCGGTGATCATGTCACAAATGTAGGGCTTTCCGGTTAGCACTTCATACAGGCCCAAAGTACTCCCGTGAGTAAAAGTTGGATGCAGCGAGTGCTTGTTTTTTATGCTCTTACTTGTCCACTGCCAACAAATAATTCTCATCCATGATATTATCCGCAAGGAAAAAGAGAAAATGTTAGAAGCATCGAACCATTAACATTACCTTTACTACCACCAGTGAAAGAAGCCAAATACCAGTAGGCTTGGATCCCTCCCTGTAAAGCACCACACCACACAATTTCATTGGTTTCCTTGGTAGAAGCTTCAACTGGTTCACGAACTGAAGGCGGAAGGAGCCCCCAATAGAGGATTGGAGACTAATCAAGATCATTTATTTTTGGATCTTTATTGATGGAGGATTCCTTAGAAGCTTTTTCAATATCAGTCTGCAATGTGAAAACAAAATAATAACAAAATCAATTATCATCAAAGAGTTAGGCACACACTAAATAATTATACGACACAAAAAATCACCAACACGCACCTGGACTGCGTCATGAAGATGAAGCATCTCTTTTTCTTCCAACATGCCAACCTTCTCTAGGTTTTGGAGATATTCAGTTAACTGGTTTAGAGCTGAGAATGTTACTTGTCTTGTTTTCACAACACGCAAAACCTGAGAATTCCAAATATACAAATTCATACAAGACAATCTCATGCTAAAATATTCTTCCTAAGCAAGAACACAGAGGAAAGTTTTAACTATAGACGGTGGATTAAATGTACTTCGGCTAAAAACCCTCCAACTTGAATCCAGCCTGATCAGTATATCCATGAAGAAACTTAACTAACAAACCTGAGGAAATGTGACACGAACATCTTCCAGAAACTTTTTTGCTTCTTCTCCTTCTGCCTCACTTTCATTAATGACAATTGAAGCAACTTCACTATCACCTGAATAAATAAGCACTTGAAGAACAATTACATATTTTTCAAAATACAGGTGCTACTACAATAAGATAATAACCAAAACAATTTCCACTCTTACGTTACAACAACAATCACAAAAGGTATTAACTGGAAAGAAGGAATAATAACCTATGAAATCATGAAGTTGCTGCCTTGCAATTCTATGGGCACGGAGAAAGGAAGCACAAATGTAACATGCAGATTCCAGCCTTTCCACAGTCAAATAGGTTACCAATTTCCTGGGGGAAAATGCTAGTTTGAAGGAACTTGTAGTAATTCGGGAAATGAACATGAGCTTTTAAACCTTTCCAGTCGCATAAAGGCTCACGTGAAACCGAGTCAATTGATTCGTCTACTGATTGCATCAAAATATTTGCAGAAGATTGTGTAATCCTTCCCTCATCAAGCATGTTCCAGTAAGCAGCTTGGACTCCTGATTTAAAATGTTTTTTTTGTATTAGCAAATGAGGCCACAGTTAGATATGGCAACCCTGTAACTTTCACACCAGTAACCTTAAGAATTTTAGTTTTACGTTTCAGAAATATGTAGACGTAAGAAATGCCCAAGCTTGAAAGTTACTGGAACTGAAATATAAACACTGCTAAATTTACCATTCAAAAGACGTTCACGTATATCCTTCAAATTTGTAACGTGCGGATTATTACTATTATCACTTTCTGTTGCATCGTGAGGGTGTACAAGTTTTCGGTATCAACATCATTTGCAATATATCTTTTCACAGAGGGCCAGTCAGCAGGTCCCAACTCCTCGTCATCTCCAAGATCACCAAAAGCCTCTAATGCTTTGTTCAACATTTCATATTTTGTGTACTCCAGCATGCGCCTCTGTAATAAAACAAAGGTATAGCTATTAAACCAAATGCATAGACGGAAGAAAATTCTCATAACAAGTGCCCGAACATAGACATCCTCTTAACTAAGCTAGACAATTATAATTTACCTTCAAGTGGATTTATAGCGGCATGAAATGTTGAGGAATTAAAAATTATAATCCCAAAACAAAGGGAAACATAAAGCAGTACCACAGGTCTACAAGGACAACGCACTTGTACATTTTGAAGGACAGTTAAACATCACCTTAGCTGCTGATAGCTTGTCCAGATCTAGAAGGCGTAAAATGAAATGTGTGGTGGAACCATTCACAACTAGTGTCAAGAAGACAATTCCACCAGTGAAGAAAACAAACTGCAAAGGTTTAACAGATTGCTTAAATAAGAATCTCAAGTGATGTCCTTGAATAAATTAATACGTTATGTTTGAAAATCGAGCATATTATACAATATAACAGAAAAAAGTGTGCGCTCACGCTCCAGATACGTACCAGGACTCCTGTGCCAGAACTGATAAGTGAAGAGCTGTCACTAGTTTGCTACAAGAATAAAGCTTTCAAAGGTGAGGGGGGAAATATCTTGTCAAATATAAGATGCTTCCCTTTCGTCAGATTATGCACTCAAAACTAATGGAATTGCATGTAGACTACAATTACAATAATCACTTTTGACACAGCAAACAGTTAGATGTGTGAATGAAACATTTCCTCCACAAACTCAAAAAAATGGAGGTGTAGCAGCTGGCTTATTGAGAACGGAAATGGTTTATGATGCACCATCCAACTTGAAAAGGAAAAAGTTACGAAATTAACAAACAGTAGAGATTGATTTTTACCCAGAAGGTATAAAAGTTATATTTTGCTTTGCATAAACAACAGTTCGTAATTAACAACTTGCCTTCACTGACAGTGAAAGTGACAATGCTACAGCCCCTCGCAGACCTGACCATATAAGGATTATAGCCTCTTTCCAGTCCAAACCATAGCCAAAATACCGGAGAAGGGGAAATGAAACTGCAACCACTATGAACCGGGCAATTTGTACATAAACATAGAGAAGAATGAGGTACAACCAAGATTTTCCTGAAACAAAAACAATTAGAGTTAAAAAGAGTTAAATAGAACCAGTCATTAAAGAACTAAGAGATAATCCACTAAAACGTTAACCGCCGAAAAGGTAGTTCTCGTTTGCTTCTTTCATCCTTCACTCTTAATGTACTTTATATTGAACAATAAGAATTTAGCAACTGGGAAACAAGTTGAAAAAAAGAAATTCCTGATCGGCCTACGTGTGTCCTTGTGTGCAGTTATGACCAAGCAAGTGACATATATTTATGAATGCAAAAATGAGTACATGCATATCTCTATGTTTCAAAAGTAAGGATTACCATGATCGAAAATATTTTCACTGCTAAGAACACCTTCAGCTATAATAACTCCACTGAAAAGAAAAACAGAAAATATGTGTTTGTTTTCCCTTTTATTATAGTCACAAAACAAAATGCAACTAAAGAGTGTCAGATTATGCACTTACCTCAATATGAAAACTAAGGTATTAGCAATATAAGCAACCATTTCCCTGCACAAGATGCATAGAGTACGAGCAATTAAAATTTCATGAAGGGTAGTTTCAAGCGACTTTTTTTTTTTTTTTTTATCAAACTATTCACATATGGCTGTATCTTTCTGTTTTGGAGATTATTAACTATATGATGAATTTACTCATGAATTGAACCTTTGTTTAACCAAACAGACTGCCTTAGTTTAACGTGATAACCACAACCACAAGATATACCAGAAATGGTGTAAACTTTGTTGGCTTTCACTCTTAAAAGCTGTCCTTGCAACCGCAGCATAAAACCTGTCCACGGATTATAACATTATGCTAAATATTTTCTCCTGTGTGCAATAAGATCTTATCGGGAAATTCAGCTTACATTCCTAAAGTCGTCACCGTCAAGACACCAGAAACGCCAACACTCTCTTGAGCCTGTGGCACCCGAATAATATATCACAGTTTTTTAATACATAAAACAGGCAACTAATGACCAAAATTTTTTCCAGATAAGTGAAATGCATTATAATATGTAAACTGGAATGCTTCAATCTTCTTTACGCTAGAAGAAACCGTACAAAACATAGTTTATTGTTAACAGTCTTCAGTCATTGGTTATTGAAAGAACATCAGAAGAATATTTTACATAAATTTGGAGAAAGGAACATATGTGCAAGGAGCCAACTTCCCAGTCACACGTAAAAGTAATTGAACTATCAATAGCATTTCTATGACAGGTTTCAATCGTAAGAATTTTGCACCAATTCATACATAACTATTTACATGACAACAAGCAATTTGGAATAACAGTCATATGAACTTAACAATTAATCATCCAATTTTGGAAAGGAACATACAATGAAGTAAGCAACGTAGCTGACAGCAAGTGTTAGTGTGATCTCTATCACGGTGTCATTGAAAATGAACATGAGCCAAAGTACAGATACTATGCCAAATGCAAGACCAATGCCTACACTGGAACAATAAAAGAGTTATTTATGTGAGACAAATCTGCCATCTCTACTCAAAGAAATATGTGAGACATACGATCCAAATGTGACTTGAGTGAGAAATTTAATTATGGCGGCCCAGTCATAGCTCCTTCCAAGGACCATTTGATAAAATAACTGATACACGACAATTGCTATCCTGGACGAAATTAAACACATTCAGATAAGTGAAAATACGAAAGGCATAATTTACACAAAGGCTGTAAAAAACAACAGCGACAACAATCTCATACATATAAACCACACATGGTTCACCTACACAAAATATTGAATGGTAGAGCATAGAGATTATCTGGCTTGAGATAGTGCTAGATTACTAAAAATCTATACCCATCATTCATCATGGATTCTCCTTCAATTATCGTACTCAATTTTTTGCTAGCACCAAGCTCTTTTAACAGAGCAATAACAGCCACAGGATCGGTGGCGCTAAGAAGCCCCCCAAGGAGCAGTGATGTTTTCCAACTCCAGTCGTAAGGGAAAGTGAGCTGCAGTTGTATATGACAATATAATTATATAACTCAAACCTATAGTCTAATTAGCAAAGTTTAGGATACCTTCAAAGCAGATCCAAGGACAAAGGTTGATATTAGAACACCGGGACCAGCTAGTATCATCATTTGTACCATACACCTCTGCACGAAAAATGGAAAAATTTTCTGGTTCATTTCATATCTGAGGCAATTTCAAGTCAACCAGTGACTTTGCAGAAAGCTACAGGTTAGAATTGCACCAAAATAAAGTTTGTTGGCCTTATTGCGCTATAAATGTTTCAGACTTTTCATGATTGTGAATAAGCAGAACAACAGAGCATGGTAAAAGAAGAACAAAATTAAAAACAATAATAAACTCAAATTTTTGAAAAATGTACAATGACAATATGTGAGGAAGAAAAGTGACCTTTATTTGGTGCACCTCCATAGAAAACGAACTCTCGAAAAGAAGGGCAGGCAGAAAAACAGCCAATAGAAGTGTCAGGATCAATATTTGCCCCTGCACCACAGTACAAAGCCCTCCAAGTCAAAAACAACCACGAGGATCCAAAGCCTATAATCGGCGTTGCAATTGCTAGCAAAGATGTAAAGCTGGAACATACAAATTCGAATTCCATCTCCAATCCTCCCCAGTCGATGATGTGTGCCATATTCTGCATGTTTATCAATCCTTTTAATTAGCAAATATTAATTAAAACAAACAATTAAGCTCCTAATAAAGACATAAAGCAGAGGCCAGAGAGTATCATATCATCCCACCATCTGAAATGGGCTGACAAAGAATAAAGCAGTTTTGTGTCTCATCACTACAATTTCATGGTTGTTGCTCATTTATTCCTCCTTATATTCCATTCCTACTGCTATTGCTTAGAAATCTCACTGTTGAGATTGCTGCTGCTAATTTTCTTAATCCTTGCCCCCACAAATCACCCTAAAACCACTGAATTTTGATATATAAATATAAGGGGCGGATCCGTGGCACCACTCTTTTTACACAACTTTTAACATACGTTTTTGTGGGGTCCTATTCGCAATGTATTTTAACAATCCGAACAATTTATCATTTAGGTATTCCCTCAAAAATCATGTCTACCAAAAAATCACCCAAATCTAAAACCATCTAACTGTTGGATTGAAGTGTTTAGGGTATCTTTGTAGAATCGTATTCGACCATTTTTTTCCCTACAAATGAATGTTTTAGTGGTTTTTGCGAAAATGATCTATGAATGATGTTCTAAAGATAAAGAGTTCAGATCGTTGAAATACATTAGGACAGTGAACTCCACATGTGTCAGAAATTGTGTAGAAACAAAATTGCCACGGATCCACCATATCATATAAACAAGCTCCTAACTTTTTTTGTTCATTTTTAAGATTCAAATCACTGAAATCAGCAAAAATACAAAGTTTGATAACTAGCTGCAGTTAACATTAGATGAAACCCAATCATTAAAATAAAATAATAATAATAATTAGATGAAACCCAATCATTAAAATAAAATAATAATAATAACAAGAAGAAGAAGAAGAAGAATAAATGGAGGAGAGTGAGAGAGAGACCTATGGAGCCGAGGCCAATGCCAAGGATGAGCAGAGCGACAGTGTAGGGAACTCTGGTACCACGCAACAGATGCCTGCTGGCGATTCCTAACACCAAACACAACCCCACGAACGCCACCGCGTTCGTCGGGTCCGACGAGCTATCTTCTTCTTCCTCCGCCGCCAAGATTCTGTACGGTAACTGCCATGCCGTCACCGTCGCCATTTCTCCAATCTCAAAAGCTCTACTAAATATCCACCACAATTTGAATTCCTGTTTCAGTCCTAGCTTAAAAAGCTTAAAGCTTTCAGCTTTTGACTTCTGATTAAGCCATAAGCAGCAGCATACTAGTGGTGGAGACTCACGAGCGGCTTTTGCTGCTGAAAAAAAGCAGTTGCGCGCTCTCAGCTTCCAGGTGCACCCTCCCGCTTATATACTCCGAGAAGATAATTGAAGATGATTGAAGCTGATTGATATGATCACTGTCAGTCACGTTTCGTTCTATCACTGACAAGTAATGCCTGGTGATTTTGCTAACAATGAATTCATGGCAGGTAATCGGAATAAAGAAAGAGAATTGAATTTCGATTACATAGTATTCCGGTGTTTACTAAATATTAAGGAATCAAAAAAATGGTGGAGCCCACATGAAACAAGGAATCCAATTCCTGAAATTGGAGGAACCGGATTCCCTAGTTTTGTGAGGTATTTGAATTCCATGAGGACAAGGGAATCGGGAATGCATCTTTTATTCCAATAATGCCCTCACTTGTTTCTTATTATTCCAACATTGCCCTTCATTTGACACTCATTATGTCATTTTTAATAAATAAATAAAACCTATGTATATATTTTTATATAGATAATTTTATTATATAAATTTAATTAAGAATTTAATTTAATTAATTAGTATGAAAATAATTTATTTATGTAAGGGCAATTTAGTCATCAATTTAGTTTTCATTCCGATTGAAGTGAATTAGTAAATAACTTATATGAACTCAACATCATTATTGTCATCTTTTAATAAATAAATAAAACCTATTTATACATGCTTATGTAGATGAATTTTATTATATAAATTTAATTAAGAATTTAATTTAATTAATTAGTATGAAAATAATTCATTTATGTAAGGGCAATATAGTAATCAACCTAGTTTTCATTCCGATTGAAATGAATTAGTAAACAACTTATATGGATTCAACATCATTCATACTCCGATTCCTGACAGTTTTAGTAAACAACTTCAACAGGAATCAGATTCTGATTCCACCTCATTTCAATTCATCCTCAATCCAATTCCCCCTCAATTCAATTCCTCTCAATTTGATTACGGATTAATAAACGCGCCATCAGAGTCCCGTGACTACTATTTTATTTATTGAGTAAACTGCCGATTTACCCCTTAAACCATCACCCAACTTTCGATTTCTCCCATAAACTTTTTAATTGGAAAATTAAAGATTTAAACTAATTTTTTTGGCCAATTTCCCCCTACCGTTAGTTTTTAATAGATTTCATCCAAATTAACGTTAACTCTTATCATGTGCAAACCACGTAACTCTCATTTGTGAACAAAAACGTTACTTCACTAGACATTCAGACACAAAAGTTATAAAATCACACATATTTGCATAGGTTTATATTATAGAAATCTAAGGTTTTCAATTATTTTAAAGAATAAAGCGACCGAAATACCCACACATGTTGTGCACATGCTTCCATTTAACAGAAATTTGGATGGAATGAATGAAAAATTAACAGCAGGGGCAAATCGGCCAAAAAAATTAGTTTAAGTCCTTAATTTTCCAATTAAAAAGTTCGGGGAGGAAATCGAAAGTTTGGTGATAATTCAGGGGGCAAATCAATAGTTTATTCTTTATTTATTTATTTTTCTATGTTTACCTACAGATCACAGATCTTGACTAAACAATTTCTAAGTCATTATTTTCACCTAGTTGTCGCCTATGCAACATTTTAATCGAAAATTCTATGTTGTCCCATGTATTTTATATCAAAATTTCTACGTTGTTCTGATGCATTTTATATCAGGATTTTAACGATTCGAATATCTCAGCGTATAAAGTTGTACAAACACAACCAATATTCTAGTTTTAGATTATAGCCCAAAAGATAGGGTAAGCATTTGATTCATGTATCTAACATAGCTTACATGTATTTGTCAAGCTTAACTTATGTAGCTCATAAAAAAATCATATACTATTACTTGTTTGGAAGTACTTTTAAAATAACTGAAAGTATTTATGGTAAAAAATTTTGAAACCCAAAAATGTTTTCTTTAAAATGTTTTCAGTCATTTTAAAAGTACTTTAGTACTTTCAAATGAGTTTTATATTTGCCCTCTGCTGCCTAATTTTCTATGGTAATCAAAGCTACTATATTATTATTTTTTAACAAAAGATATTATCTACACTAAGTAAGAGTTGGTGGGTTTAGACTCAGAATGGGATAGCAATAATGTAGTTTAAATTCACTTTTGATAAGAATCGAACCTAAAATCTTTCACTTATAAACTAGACCGTAATACCAGGTGACAAATCTATTATATTATTATTATCTACAATTATTTGTATGTGTCAATAGCACGCTGCTCAATAGTCTTGTGAGCTGGACTCCCCGCTTTTTCACAAAGAACAGAAAGACAAACAAAAAATTGGAAGAAGATGAACAGAAGTGACAAATTGTTTTCGTTATCTGTTAATTTTCTTCTGCATCAGGTGTGGGGATTGGATTAGGCTTTATTTTAATCATCAAATGTGTTATTAGTTAAACAAATAATTATGGCATATTATTATTTTAATTACGAAATCAAGATCATCGATGCATGTGGGGGGGATTAAAATATGCCCCTTAATTCTCACACGTCCACATCATTATGTGTCTGCTCTAATCTTCCACCTTAATTAATTTTAATTATTTTTTTGTCACAACTGAGGAACTGATGACTTTAACAAGGGCAATATTGTAATTTGAAACACATTCGCATCGATGGAATAATGTTAATAGCATCAGGTAATGAGGTGGTAGGTTGGTAGGTGTTATTTAGTTTCATTTTTATATGCTAACCATAATGTAAGAAGGATAATCGAATCTAGAATTTCGAGTGAATGGATAAATGTTTTAAATAACTTAACTTATAAAGCCTTTTGCTAAAAAAGTTAGAACCGTTCTTAGTTTATGCGTGCCATTTTTGTTCTCGGGCCATGCTAATTTTCTTTATATCAAACTTTATATCTTATATTAAAGAGGGAAACACAAGAACAACCGGCCCCAACCAAATCGAAATTTATGGCTGGGCTGGCAAAGTTTGGTACAACACCATCCCAATATATGATTGGAATGAAGACTAAGGTAATGTTTGGTAAAAGCGTCTACAATAAAATTAGCTTTCCTAAAAATATGCCGCCAAGAGATGGATTGGAATTTTGTCATCAGCCTTTGAATCTCTGCAATCGTAGTCTTCAAGTTCCAGGGAGCAGACCAACTACCAAGCATAGAGTGGATGACTAATCTTGTATCTCCTCCCAATTAGATATCTTGTATCTCCTCCCAATTAGATCTTAGAAACACCTTTTTAAGGGCAAAAGAAATACCCTCCTTCAGCGCCATAGATTCTGCCTCGGAAATCGTAGCTCCACCAACATTGAAGGAATCGCCATCCAAAACATTCCTTTGATCATTTCTTAACACAAACCCAGCAACTACATTCTGAAGACTGACCGACCCATTAAAATTAAGCTTTATAAAATTAGGGTCAGGCGGGTGATATTTTATGGAGTACTTATTTGTTGTTGAATTATAATGTGTTCATAAGTCAAAGGTGAATCCGTTCACACGAACACCATATGAAGGTGGGTAACCGACCCTTTGTAGTATGGAAATTTGGGTCCCCTCTGACCTTAATGTCCGGAGTTTAAAGATCAGGAAATTTGGACCCTTAGGTTGTTCGAAAGAGAGATCATAATCTTTAGTTTGTGCAAGTTGAGCTAGTGAAATGAGTTAATGAATACAATCTTACTCAATTTGAGCAGTCCAAATTATCTAATACTTGAGTTCTGGATAGTGAAATGAATATCTTTGTCCGCAATAAGGCATGTCGCGATACTGCTTGCCTCTGAAAATCGTCTTAATGGGCTAATGGGAGAGGGGCCTTAAATCAGCTTTGCAGTTTGTTTTATTTTGGGTCAAATACCAAATTCTCTTTTGTACTGAATCAAAGTACAATTCCGATTTGATAATTATATTTGTACAATGTTTAATTTTTTTAATAGCAAATTATTATAAAGAATAATGTTTTACAATTCTTAAAAGTTTTTTTTTTTTTTTTTTGGTCAAAGAGTAGCTATTATTAGATACGAATCAAAATATTTATATCAGATGTCAGAGTGTTAAACAACCACTCAGGCTCAAACTCATCCCAAGAAAACACACCCCCACCCCCCCCCCACGCGTGACATAAGATGACACAAGATGCGTAACCTCATTACAGGCACGAGGAGTGTAAAGAAACTCAATAGAACATAAATGTTGCTTAATAGTATTAATATCCCACAAAATAGCTTCCATGGTTGCCTTAGGTTGCAGTTTTCCATGAATCATATCAACAAGGAACTTGGAATTAGTTTCCAAATGAACAGAACCAAATCCCCTTTTCACCAAAGCCATTACAGCCATCCTAAGTGCTTCCGTTTCCGCCATGATGCTCGAACCACATAGAACCTTCCCCACACAGCCCGCACCTTTGAAAATACCCGCAAAATCTCTCGCTACCCACCCATATCTTCCCACACCAGTACTATTACACCAGGCTCCATCACAATTTATTTTTATTATTCCAAATGGTGGCTTTATCCACCTATTCGAGATCATCCCTTGCCCAGCTTGCCCAGGGACTTTGCACGGCAGCAGATCTTCATCACTTCCCACAATCTCCTCTCATTGCTGCTGAAGTAACTGCATTGCAACATTGGGTTCTACCACAATCTTCTCAAACACCACACTATTATGATACTTCCATATTCTCCATAAACCACACACCACCCAACGCATGAACGCACAAGCCTCCTCCATCTTACCATACTTCGCACACAACCAATTCCAACATTGTATAAAATCATCCCCCCACCACTGTGGTCACATCTAATTGGAGCGAAGAACCAAATCAAAAGACACAAGCAAATGAGCATTTAAAAAAGATATGTACTTGTGTTTCCTCCTCACAATCACGGAAGGGACATCTAGTACTCAAACGAATCCCTTTGCGTTACAAGTTGGTATGGACAACAACTATATTCCGACATCCTCTCCATATAAAATGGCAGAGCTTAGGAGGAACTTTCAAACTCCAAAGAGCCCTCCATACCGAGTCCATATTATCATCTCTACTGGATTGCCCCACCTATTTCTGTCCAAGTTCTCCATTC